TAACCCATTAAATTAAGACAACTCTTCAAATATATATAAAAATGTGTGTATGTATATCTATATATAAAAAAGAGAAAAAGAATGCTCAGCCTGCATAATGACAATGAAAAACGAAGATGCATTTTAACAAGTACTTAGGCTGGAAAAGAACATTCATTCATTTGCTTTCTTTCAGCTATCATTTTTTCCTTTCTCCCCTCAGAAGGTGCTTGGAAGGAAATGCAGATTTTGGTAGCAGGGCTGGCTCAGTGTCATTCAAAGTCCTCTCCCTCTAGTGTTTTTTCACACAATGCCCACCCCTGCCCAAACCAACAAATTAGAAAATAACCCCAATATATGTATTTATAATACCAAGGCTCTAGTTAAAAAAAATCTGGATATTTTTGACTAAATGAAAATACTCCAGTGTTTATAAGAAGGCAGAATCACAGCTTGATTTTGTACAGTGGTGTAGCAATACTCAAACTGGGGAATGGCTGCTTGGGGAGCAGGAACAGATCTGACCCATCCCTACATACAATACAGATTCTAATTGATTGGACATTTAAAGACAAACAGCATAAAAAGTCACTTCAGCCCTTTGTTACACTACGAAATGATGCTCTGATCCTGCTACTTGGCCCAGTTTTGCTCCCACTGAAGGCACAAGGGGTTTTGCTGTCATTTTCCAAGGAAGCAGGGTAAGACCCCTTATTTTTACAGGGAAGACACCATGGGCATTTCCAGCCTTGTGCTAAAATCCTGGGAATGGGTGAGTGTCTGGTCCTAGCGCTCAAGTGATCCAACAGAGCCAAGGGTGGCACAAATAATTCAAAGGAGCAAAGTTTCAGACCAGCTGCTGTTCCGACGGAAGCCGGTTAGAGCATAGAACTAAATGTAGGCTGAAGGGAACCTGCTTCTGCACCCGTTTTCCGAAGCTGCCACTGCAGGTGCAGTACAGATGCTGTCTCTACAGCCTGCCCCCTTCCTAAGATGCAGTTATTTGAATCCAAGAAAGCTTTTTTTTCGACACACACTGGAGTAAAGAAGGCCAATGAAGCTCTAACTAGGAAGAATGCAGTGGAAAGGAATGGCATTTTGTCATCAGCACTCCACAGAAGGGTTCCTCTCCAACCAAAAACTGAACTAACTCACTCAAATTTTTCAACCTGGACATCCAGATGCTCTTGTATCACACAGAAAAAGCCATGCAAACCTAAAACAAAACAGGAACTGAGGATGGAAAACACAGTTGTAGAATCAGTGCTGCATTTGTGAAAACATAGGGAGCTACATCCAAGGTGGTACTGCTGCAATGTCACCTGCCCAGTGGCAGCAACAAAACCCAAGGTCAGGAGCAACTTTATACCAGGCTACTGAAAATAAGACGGAAAAACTTGGATGAAGTGTGAAGTAACTAAACCCAACCCTTCCACTTAAAAGCCACAGAGGGATTTTTAGGCACATTTAAAAGTGGATTATTGGAAACCTCCAGCAATGAACATTTTATGAAGGGCCCAGTCCACAAGCACCATGTTAACAGACCTGTATGGAAAGTTCCTGGATACTTTGGTAATACTTTCAAATAAAGTCTATTAACTGAAATAATTTCTGGATGTTTGTTGTTAGCAGAAATTTATTTTCTCAATAGTTTCGTTTCTGGGAGGTGAAGAAAGAATGATAAAATAACCAGTCAACCCACAACACATGGAAAAGTGGCATGAGTTAAGGAATCGGGCAGTACTCCTGTTTGTCAGCTTAAGGGGTGAATACTCACTGCAGCAATGTGCTCCACCATGACAAAGTTTGCAGAAGTGGCTCAGTTCATACAATCACAGAATCAACTAGGTTGGAAATGACCTTTAAGATCATCAAGTTCATTAACCCAGGACTGCTAAGTCCACCACAAAACCATGTCACAAGGGCCTCAGCTATGAAGTTTTTCAACACTTCCAGGGACAGTGATTGTACCACTGCCCTGGGCAGCCCTGTTCCAATGCTTGACTACTGTTTTGGGGAAGAACTTTTTCCTAATATCCAGTCTAAACCTCCCCTGGTGCAGCTTGAGGCAATTTCCTCTTGTCCTACCGCTTGTTACTTGGGAGAAGAGACCAGCCACTTCCTGGCTCCATCCTCCTTTTAGGTAATTGTAGAGAGTGAACAAGGTCCCCCTGAGCCTTTTCTTCTCCAGCTGATCCTCATGAGACTTGTGCTCTAGATCCCCCAACAGCTTCACTGAACATTCTTTGGACCTGCTCCAGTAACTCACTATTTCACTACAAATGAGGGGACCAGAACCAAACACAGTATTTGAAGTGTGGCCTCATCAGTGCTGAGTACAGGGGGACGATCACTGCCCTGGCCCTCCTGGCTATGCTATTTCTGATACAGACCAGGATGCTCTTGACTTCTTGGCTGTCTGGGCACAAGCTGCTCATGTTCAGCTCCACCAATCAGCACCCCCAGGTCCTTTTCCATGAGCAGCTTTCCAGCCACTCTTCCCCAAGCCTGGAGCGTTGCAAGGGGTTGCTGTGACCCAAATGTAGGGCCCAAAACTTTGCTTTGTTGAACCTCATACAATTGGCCACTGCTGGGATGAAACAAAGAAGTCGTCAACGGTACGTTGCTTATTTAATCTCTCAACAAAAAAATCAACTGCACTCTGCCATATATACCAGAAACAGATCTATTAAGCCAGAATCCACTTTTTACCATCAGTTCAGTTGCAAACTACATCTTTAATAAAGAAAGATGAGTCTTTTTTCTCTAAAGATAGATAGATACAGCTCTCAAACCCTTCAAACACAATTCCAGACCACCTCCATCAGAGGAAAGAGAAAAATTCTAACACAGGACTCACCCCCCCATCCCAAGCAAGACAAAGCCAAGAACAGTTTGGGCTGGAATCACAAATAAATAAACAGTGTAAATTCTAGGTTGTATTCTAATGTTTATTTTGATTTTCAAACTATAAAACCTCATTGTATTGATATGGCCAATGGCCCTTTGGTACCACCTCAAAAACATGTTAAAAAAATTGTCCAAGGAGGACTTGACAGCCATCAACTGGAATGAACTGCTCTAACCTCTACTACAGAACTGGCTTTATAAAGACCCAACTCTTCATAAGCAGACTAAACGCATTATTAAGTAACTCATCCTTGAAATAGGCAGACAAAACATTTAATTAAACATAGAAAAATTCAAGGCATTGCTGATTATTGGCACCAGTATTACAGGGACAACTGTTAATCAAAGGAAAGGTTACACATTGTTCATATATGAGATTCAGTGTGAACCTTCTCCCATGATACTTGGATTTAGACAAGATTTTTGCTTGCCCAAATCAGTAAAACTGTGATACTTTAAATGCAACTTTCCATACAGAGAATATTCGTTACTCACCTGACAGAAGTGACAATCCCAGCTACATGAAGGAGTGCAGTAAAATAGCACAAACAAAAATCTACAGTGCTGTTTCTTTCACTGTAGAAGTTCTTGAAGGGAACAGAACTACAGAACCTATAATCTCACAGGATATTCCACCAGCCATGTTCTGAGATTTAATTTTTCCTGCCCTTTCTTCAACCTTGCTTTACAAGTAAAAATGTTGGTTTTAAGACAGACAGCACTGTAACTAGAAAACGTCACCTTCTACAGCTTTGCTGTATCAAAAAACCAGACTCGTTCCCTTCTAAATCCACTGTTTGGTTCTGCTGGGCAGGACTGAGACAGAAAAGTGCCAAAATAGAACTCTTACATATACTCTCTTGTCCAGGTGCGTTACAATTTGGTTCTCTGAAAAGCAAGTTTCACATGTCAGCGACAGGGGGACAGACACATCAATTTCTTTTCTCAGCTCGGAAGCATCATGAAAGCACCTATTAACATTTGCAATTGCTCACTAGCTTTAGGTCAGTGTCTAAAATAATTCCTGAACTGCTTTTGGTGTCTTAGCTTTCTGCAGAGGCAGGCAGGTGATGGGACAGAGAAAACAACTGGGAAGCCAACTTCTTATCTTCTTGAACTTTTTCCAAACTGAGTGCAAGCTGATAAAAACTTTCATGGTGCCGCACCACAGAGGTTTCTTCTTTGGCTGAACTGCAGCATACAGCTTTCCCAAAAGAACAGGGAAAGGCTCTGGTGGAAAATCCCATCTGTATACTCTAATGTTCTTGACAGGACAAAAATAACTACTTAAGAATTACAGTGAGGAAAGGGTTGAATGATACTGCAGATAAAAACAGATCTGGCATCAGCAGATGTTACACTTTCTGGTCTTCACAGAAATAATAATTACTGCAAGCCAGGAAACTGAGAAGCAGTAATGAAAGGCTAGAAGTCTAATGGAGAAAAGAACTCCAAGCAAAAGGAAAAAAAAGAACACGACAAGGTATCTGGCTACATTTTATTTCTGAAATTATTCTTTAAGGCACAAAATAAATCTAAAAAATAGGGCTGGATGAATGAGGGGAGGAGTAGAGAAATTATCTGAGCTAGAGTGGTGTAAATGCAGTCTCTACAAATCCAGTTTCAGATCTGACCTGGGAATGCTCCCAGTGTGAGTGGGGAAGATTGTGAAAGCAGAGGAACATTCTTATTCAGGAGGTAGGAGACAGTGGGCTGATTGTTTCTTTTTCCACCACCTCTACATTTACACACATACTGGTTCCCTGGCCAGACTCAAATTCCCTTCCTTCCCCTCAAGAGAGATCTTTACAGTTTATTAAATAAGATGAGACCACTCAATCTTCCAGTAAAAAAAGTGACACACTGAACCACCCTTTGCATTACAGCCTGCTCAGAGTGGTGGGTGGGGGACAAGAGGCAAATCTCTTCCTGCCCTCACGTTAGTGCCTTGGTAGATATTACAGATGTGTGTGTTTTGCTTCAGTCAAACTGTAATTCATTATTTTGTTCCCATTCTGAAGCAGAATCCCAGGCATGCAGGGCATCCTTGGATAAAAGGTAGGTAGGTATCTAGGTGGAACAGCTGTCATGGAAGGGAAAATTAAATTTTCAAACAGCCCATGACTTGAGCTATCCAGAAAAACACAGGCTCTCTTGCTGCAGGTGATACTTTTATTTTTCTTTTGGTTCTGAATGCATGTAGTGTACCACACAACTGTCTAAAATAATCCTGCAGAGAGAGGATTTAAAAGTGAATTTCATGCAGGGAATCAACCCCCAAAACTGGGGTAATTCTTGGTAGTAGGACAGGTTTAAAGGCTCCAAAGATCTCTAGTTTAACTGCTCTGGGAAGAGATCACATCTGTGGACTGGGGGTCACAGAAGGGTCCAAAACGTCCATAGATGTCCTTAGCCCGCACCGCAAAGTAGTATTTACTGCCAGACACAAACTGTGTAAGAGTGCATGCCATAGGTAGCGGGAGGGCCTTCACTTCCCCAATCTTCTTCCACTGGGAAGGCATAGTGGCGCTTGGGTCCTCGTGGTAGGCATAGAGATGGTAACTGTCCACAGTGGCACAGCTCCTGTCCACCTCCATGACACTCCATGATAGCACAATACCATTTTGGCTCTGTACCCGTGCCAGCTTCAGCTGTGGTTTTTGAGGTGGAGAAGTGTTGGCAGCTTCTGGGGGCAGACGTGGTGGCTGTGGTGCCTCTGGGAGTGGGGCAGGATGTACAGGGCGTGGTGGCTCCTAAGAGACGTAAGAGCAATAAGGAAAAGGTCAAAGTCTACAGTAGTGGAAGAAGACTTTGATTCATCATTCCCCAGGCAACTAGAAGCAAATGAGCCTGCAATCACCCAACCAGCACAACTCTTAGTCCTGTGTGCAGAGGCAAGAAAGCAGCAGCAAATGTTGAGAAGGGATGGGACCAAGGATGCCGTAATTTCTTAGTATCTGCATATAAAACCCTAGCTGTACAGATGATCACTGCCACAGTTATTGCCCAATATCCTCTGCATCTCACCCAAGAGGTGATGGTCTGAACGCTGTGCTCTTTTATTAAGAGCTGAGCAGGCAAATTCACAACTTTAAGCTAATGTACATTTGAGCTGCTGTTCCTACATCATCCAAAACTCCTCAGGCAGTAAATGAGGTTGACAACTCATCAGGCAACCAGGCAAGCTTTCAGTCACAAAAGGCAGAATGGGTAACGGTGCCACGTGGATTTTATCACTTTAAATTGATCATAAAAGCCGCTTTCCCTTCTGTTTTGGTTGTGTTTTGCTCTTGTTTTTTTTCAGGTTGGGGTAGTTTTTGTCATCTTAAGTGTTCTGTGTAATATTGGCTTGATTTTCTCATTATTTATACCTGGAGAATACATTAGGTTGAATTATATTTATATTGAAAGAATGGTGAACTGTCTTGCTAGCAATATATTTAAAATTTCATGCCATCACAATTGATGTGACTGCCCAACAGTAAGTATGCAGGCAATGTATTTATTTTAGTCTCAACAATGATCCGTAGAACTCATTAGGAACTCATCAACAAAGTTTTAAGTTGACAAGCAGGTATTCTTTATTGCAGTGCCAGAGGAATAGCTCCTCCTAGCGTGTTCTGTCCGAGCACCAACCGAACGGTGATTATATTGTAGTCATACATATTCATTATATTGTATACATATTCATGAAGTTGTTTATACATGACATCACATTCCTAGAACATTCTTCCTGCATGCGCACTTTATTATGGTAGTGGTCTTTGGGACCTTTGGTGGTCATGTCTTCATCATCTTCCTCTTCATCACCTTATCCTTTCCTTGAACTCTTGTTCTGGTAGTCTTTGAGGTCTGTGCAGTAGATAAGTGCTTACACCAGTTTAATTAGTTCGGTAACACTGCTGACATAAGTAAGTGATTTCTCCCCATCCTTCTACTTATCAGTTAACCTAGCTACAGCACCTCCTGAACATCTGCTAGTTTCAGACACTCTTTATCTATGGTCCTTATTTTGCTTACAATACATTTTATATGAAGGTCATAAGGTTCTAAAACTATGTCAGCTACAACAATTTATCTTCTACAAGGATCCTTATTATGTTCTTTTGGTTAGGCTTTTTAGGTTTGGAAAGTTTTGTTGTTATGTACAAAGCCACCAAGCTTAAAGTTACTTAAAACTGAATTTTCTTATTTACAAAGGATCTTATTTCATTTTGTACTTCCTTGTCTCAACAACAAAACATGAAATGAATCAGAGTAAATTCTCAAATACTTATGAAAAACGGTTTGAGGTGATGCAGAAGTAATCACCCCCAACAGTGATAAAACTCCGAAATTTGGGAGTTGGCAGCTTTGAGGATCTTGTCTGTACCTTGTTCTCCGACCCCAGTTTTGCAAACAGCTGTACTGAGAAACTGGTCATCCAATTTGTAGCCAAACCATGACAAAACCTTTTAGTAGCAGTTCTGTACCTTAACTCCACAGCAAACCATTCATGCTACTGGTGATCTGGAGAACACTGGGGTAAGCTAACAGACTGCACAGCTTTTACCAGTCTCAAGTTGCCATATGTGACAGGGTGGTGGTAAGCATGTGAACTGACTGCAATGTGTCTACAAGGCATTTCACTATCCTGCAGTTCACGCTAAGCAGCAATCCGGAAGACGTTAACGCAGAAACAAGCCTATAAATTGCATTAAGTAATTTCAAAAGTACTACTCACAGCATGCACTTGTGGTCGATGATGCACTGTAAGCTGAGGCGTTCCAGATCCAAGAGCTAGTCCATTGTTCACAACATATGCAGTTGTTTGAGGCATTCGTACTGTCATACCTATAAGAAGCACAGTGAATACTTTGAGTATTCAATACTTAAAAATCAGCTAAACAGAACACTGGGAGACCAATTCCTTGGTTTAGTTGGATGACACCAAATTTTGAACTGACACACTCTCCTCAAACTGCCAGCAGACTGATGAAGTACTGCACAACAACAAAATCACCTTCCATCCCCTGAAGCTGTAAAAGAAAGAGAGTAAGTGCTACGTCTGCAGAAGGGACAGAACTTAACTGTGCAAACAGTACTATAAACAGCCACCTGAACTGCCTATTTCTCATCTGTAAGAATTTAATCAGATACACTGTTTTAGCATGACACTTACTCTATCTCAGGAAATGACAATTATCTGAAGAAAGATGGCCAGAAATGTCTTAAGATATAACGTGCAAATTTCGCATGATTTCTAGCTAAGCATACTACTTAGTTGAGGTAGAAATACAGAACTATAATTTGCCAAACACTTTGCATGAATTCTTACAGCTAATCTGTCAAAGTGAAGAGCTCTTAACTCCTGAAACATCTGCTACTGATACTAAAGACCGTTTTAATTATAATATAAACCAATACACCCCAGTAGCAGCATTTCTGAGAGCTGTATAACAAAGATAGTGAAAAATGCAGAATGGACTAAAAGATGAGAACTCATGACAGCTAAAAGGGTTCAAGAAACATCATTGCTTTTTTTGTTACCAATATGTGAAACCTCGCTAAGTGGTATGTAAATATAAAGCCTTGCAATAATCTGTATTCTAATCAAACTAGTATTTCACCTATTGTGGTTAGCCACCTGGCTTCCTTGTCCTGAGGTTCAGGGAATACACAGTGCTATGCAGGAATAGTCATTTTCTTGTGTCTTCTGTGGCTTGTCAAACAATAGTACTGTGTAAGACACAGACATACTTTTCAATCCAGAGTAACAGAACTGCCTCTAACCAAATCAAAGAAAAATCCAGGTTTGAAGAAACCTCTGGAGATGACCTTGCCCAACTTTCTGTGGAAAGAATCATTTTACGTTAGGTAATTCAGGGTCTGGCCAAGGTGAATCTTAATTACTTTGTGCAAACCTGCCTTGATTTCTGAGATTTCTAAGCAGACAACTGCAGGATAAGCATTCCTTCTATCACTGGACCACCAGGTCAGAAGCACTTCACACAAGATCTCTTGTTGGATGACCCTGCCTGAAAAACATGAATTCCTACCTCACCGAGTTCTAGAAAAGGCCTTAAAATAGCATATTGCCTATTTTCTAGTTCTTCAACTACACATTATTTTGCATGTGTAACACTAAAGGTATTCTAGAAATATTAATACTAGTGATGTTTATGTAGTCAGAATAGCTGCTCTAAAATTAGTAGTAGATTCTGACACCACCATGTATTTTGGCACAGAAGAAAATACTATTAAAGATAATTAATGTAAGCAAACGCACAGGTAGGTACTCAAAACTCCTTCCAAACAACAAATAGATCACATCCATCTAACTTGCAACTAAGAGTAACGATGAAGAAAACTAAGTGTGGGCTGGGGCTACCTTGCCTTTTAATGCCTTTTAACAGAAGATGCAGACATGCCCCTCGGAAGACAAGGCTGGTCAGAAAAATCTGAACTCAAATGTACATGGCATAAGAGCACAAGTTGTTTAAAAAATATCAACAAGTACTCTGAAAAGAACAGCAGTTTCCTTACTCCCTGACATTTCACAGCTCAAGAACTGTTGGCTCAACTTCTGTTGAGCACAGCTAATTTTTCACAGTCTATGGCAATGCAGCTGAGCCCCATCATAAAAGACACAGAAATAAATTGCTACAAACATACATGGATATTATCCTTTCCAGAAACTATAGTTTCAGAACAATGAATTCATTATTTCTGCACAAGCCTACATAGGTACAGTCTTACATTGCTCAAGCAGTGTTCTGATTCTGGCTTATACAGATGATGTCTGAAAAATCACTACCTGGATGTCACAAAAGTAGGCTCATACTCAGTGTGCTAGAACACACGGAAATTTATGTTTAACATAAAGGTGTTAAAATAACCATAGGCTAGAAGCTGTGGGAAGCTGAAAAAAAGGCAGTTAAGATCTATCACTTTGTAACATAATAGAGACTATCGTTTAACTTTAAAGTCCTTATTTCTGACACCTACAACTCAGTTCAGAAAATCAGTTTCCTGCTATGGGAAGACACCAGTTACAGGTTTGCAAAGTCAAGATAAACTTGCTGACATCTCTAGTTGGGGAAATTCCAGCATGCATCAATTTCTGATACATTTGTTGAGAAATTTCATCTGTCCAGGCCTAAAGAAAATAAGGAAATTTGCTGGGCACAGGACACAGATTGTTAAAGAACTACATCAGAATGCCTGATACAAATGTAACTTTTAGACAGGAAAACAGACATAAGTTACTACATACTTAATATGTTTTGATCTTACAGTGGTGCTCATCACATTACTTTCCGCTACCTTGTAAAGCATTAGGCATGTCATTCAGAGATGCTTGATTGGCAGAGCTAGTGCCCAAGATTACTTAAATCCAGTTTTTCCTCCTTCATATAGCTGCAGGGGGAATGATTTCTTCATAGCCCAAGATTTTCTCAAGTCTGTAAGCTGGGAAAAAACCCTAACCTCTATAATTTGGACAAGGATTATAAAAAAAACAAACCCAAACCCAAACCCAAAACCCAAACCAAATAAACAAACCAAACAACAAAAACCAAAACGAAAAACCAAATCCCACGTCCATCAGGTAGAACATATCAAGGTGTGACATACAAAAATGTACATGGAAAAAGGCATCCCCTACCTCCAGTCTGTGGGTTGACTGGCCTTAAACTTGGGCTTGACATGATAGCTCCTCTTACAGGATTCTGAGCTGGTGGTGCAGAAAGAGTGGTATAAACCACCTGATGGTTTGCAGGGGTTCTTGGTATAGGAAGCTTTGCAGCAGTTTGAGTCAGTGGCCGATGAGTTACATTCACTGTTGTCGGAGCTGGAAAAAGACAGAAAGACTACAACGTAGAATGGAATTCCACGACATTGAGATGATACACCTATTCCAGAGCACACACCTCATTTGGAAAACTGACTCATTTGAGCTACGCAAAATAAAAACTCTCTCTGTGGAATTCTATCTGCTTTTGACAATGCAAGAAGAGAAAACAGCCTAAACAAACAGGAATTTTCATGTGAAATAATAATGCCAATACATACACAAATTCCAAACAGAAAAATAATACCCCCCCCCCCCAAAAAAAACCCCTAAGGGTTCTGAATGTAAGACAATTCCAATGCCAACTCATCTTCAACAACCATCTACATAAGAAGAAAGTAAAGGGGGAAAAAAAGAAAAAAGAGGATCTATGTTTATGTTAGAAAAGGGGGGGGGGGGGAGGCAGAATTACATGGCAGACAAAATTACATTTAACTACAGATGGAACTTCGATGTCAGCCTTGCCATTCACTCTGCCAAAAGGATTAACTGCCAAGTGCAGGTGGACAGATCTAGGAGGGATGCTGCTGGTGGGCATTTCCCCACCTCCCCATTACTTCAATAATGTAACTGCTACAGGTTTCTTCTCTTCACTTTTACAAACAACAGTACATTTAATAATTTCCATAACGATCCTTAGCAGGATTTCTTTCTCTCCATGGAATTAATTTGATCCCGAATGCTTTCCAAACCAACAGAACTATCTTTCCCTTTTACTTCATCAGTTTAAAAAACCAAGTTATTGTAAACTGACTAGAATGGAAGACTAAACCACGATTCAAACATTCTGAATATTCACCTGAAAACATGCGCATAATGTAGAACACACAAGAGTCTAGTTTAAGAAAAGAAGAGTCACTGCATTCACATAATGGTGTAAAATTAAGTTACCTGTAGGTAACACATGTATGGTGGTCTGGGAAGGTCCACTTGTTGGTACTCCTGTCTGCTGTACAGGGTTTGGCTGTGAAGGCTGTAAAGGCTGCAAGGGTCGAGCCAAAGGCTGGGTGGATATGCTCAATCCTGTAACAGGTGTCTGCTTCTGCTTCTTGCCATTTGCTTTGAAAAAAAAAAAAAAAAAGAAATTACAGATGATAGCAAAGAGAAGTTAGAACATCACAGAGATTTAAAATCTCTCTTCCCCCCCATTCACAGATTAGCAAGGATTATTTCCTAGAATGACATTGCTTTGATCTTTTTATTATGCAAACTACAAAATTCATTCAATTCCTCTCATTTCCATCATCTCAATCTCCTCTCCCTCCACACCCCATAATGTTTCATTCTATCTTCATGAAGCTTGTGTATTTCAGTATAATGGAAACTGAATTCAGTAGCAGTCTTTAGAAGTTTCTATTAAAAAGAGAGAATAGCCTAAAACCTTAAGAAGGCCTAAACTGCTGTACTCAGCTTGTTTCAAAAAAAGTGATAGAGCTCCCTAAAATAAGACTTGTCTACCTTTTGTATTTGCCGACTTTTTCCTTTGTTCAAGCCCTTTCTGTTGCTGTTTTGAATTTTCATGCTATTTTCTTAATAAAGGAGAATCACTTTATTATTTACAGGAAACTTTTAAAAGAGAATTTAACTTGTTTTCTCACACTGACAACCTCCTCTACATGACGCTGCCTTGTGAGAAGGGACAAACAGCATCTATATCTGTAGTTTACTACAGCAATGTTTTTTCCTGCTCTGGTTTATTTGTGGCAACATAAAAATTTTCAAGTGCAAGTCAGTATGTAATCAAGCCTGCGCACAAGTTGAATAAAGAAGAATTGACAAGCTTCTGCCTGGATATTTCAGCTAGATTATAGTAGAGGGAAGTGAAAGCACCACCAAAAACTAAAATTACAAGATAAGAGAGTAGGTTTTAAGGGCATCATTCAAAACTAGATTTGCCCTAATAATATTGTACATGCAGCAGCCACTAATTTAGTAAAAATCTGCACAATTTAAAAATAAAAAATTCATTAATATGTATTTTACACTTGAGAAAACGTATCAACAATATATTGAAGAACACATTTAGAAACTATCAATTAAGTATTTGATTTCAAAGCACTCGGAACAGGATTAATGGCAGCGTAGCTCAAAATGTCGGGTTTTTTTATAGCAGTTGGAGATTATATTTATGGTCTCATGGAACTGTCTTTAACACCAGCTACTAACAGCTTCAAGTAGGAGTACCCTTCAGAAACCGCTATATGATAAATAAAAGACAATTGAATGCCTAAAAAAAAAGTAATATAAATTGCAAACCATACTTTCTTTCTGTAGACTGAATAGCTGAGCTACTTCATTAAAGCCATCTGATGAGAATATAATCTTATTTTCTTTCTTTTTTCAAAGTCTATAAAAGGAGCAGTAAAGGGATGCTTATTTTGAAAACAGAAGGTGAGGTGTTTTCTGCTCTTTCATCGACTAACAGCTGTTGTGTTCTTTTATTTTCCATGAGAATGAGATATCCCAGTGTTCAGCAAATTACTTGACTCTAAAGAGACTCCTACTGAGATGCTGTTTACTTTGAATACTGTCAAACTCATGCACATTTCAACTGCCATTGGATAATTTAAGTGTTACGAGTGCATTCTTAGTCATAACCTAGGGAAGATGTGCTCATGACTCAACTAGTAAAAACTCTTAACACACTACTGCTGTGAAAATGTAGTTCGAGTAAAAATGACAGGACAAATGTGAGGGCTTTTTGGTTTTGCTTTTGTTTTTAATCTCACACAGAAGCAAGTTCATTTGTCCCTGACAAATCCAGAACCCTGCTGAGATTCCACTTGCTGGAAACTAGGTCAGAATTGCACCAGTCATGGGAAGTGATAAAGGATCACCAACCAGACTTCGCTAAATAAATGGAAACACTTAAGGAAGGCTGATTCAGCTGTGAGAAGAAAAAAATCACCAAGGAAAACAGGAAGTCTGGGTGCATATTACACACAGGACTAAGGTTAAAAGTAATACAGGAACAGTTCCAATCCTAAACGAACACAGCGCTATATTCACTAAAAATGTGGACGTGGAGGAGACAGGGCAATGTGATTTATTAAAACGAGCATAAAATGGAAGTTATCACTATCGGAGGTGTAAGCAAAACTCTACATCTAATACACAAGTTGGAAAAGAGGGGCTAATTTCCACACCAGAAAATGGATCTACACACTGCAGTTACAGCAAGGAAAGAGTTTTAGTCAGCCTACTAATTCAGAACTGGTGTAGTTACAGAACAGCAAACATACCATATGCATGTTCAAGAATCAAAAAGTGATCCAGAGAACTACAGATTCTTTAATTAGATAAACCAACTAATAATATAATGATACCATATGTATTTAACATTTTTTCCTACAAAAAGATAAAGTGGAACATGGCTGGTTTTGAGACAACTGTGTTATATTACAGGTCCACATTAGATGAGCTAAATCTATTTCCTGTTTTAGTATTTGTATGAAATAATTCTATGTAACACACTACACAAGTATTTAATCAAAGCAAGAGGACTGTAGAAGTATTGCAAGATACTCACAGACAAAAAAATATCTAGATTGCTCTAGATGTCAACAATTGTTCTGAACAGAAATTAACGTGGTTTCTCAAATGTTAAACTTTCATTAATAGCTTTTGCACCATCAGAAGGTGTGCACTAAATTTAGTTGCAGTGTATTGAACTGGAAGATGCCACCATTATGGAAGCAGACCAAAACATTAGTCAGCAACAAAGCTAAGACTTGACAACTAGGAAATAAAGGATAATAGACAGCACAATATTAGCCATTTAAGAATTGATAAGAGCTTTTACTACTCATGTGAGAAACCACATGTGGGGCAGTGACGATGATCAGGAAAACCTGCATGTGTTAATTACAGAATGTCTGTCTGTTGCTTGTCTGATAAAGCTGAAGAGAGAGGAAATGCAAATATAGAGAGGAAATGCTGTATTGCCTGTATCAGTGCAATGGCAACACTGTTCTTCCCCCCTGCGCAAACCACTATTTGAATGCAGACTGATGTATGTTTAAAAGGGGTTGGAATTTGGACATGGGTATCTGTGTTAATAGAGTGGGGATCCAAAATGCCAAACTAATAGCTGTTGAGAGTTACTGTGTTTTCTAAGAGTCCAAACCTGGTGGCTCAAGCACACAGTTAAAGATCCTAGTCACTATGACACTAAAAACCAAACCAAAACTAACCAACCCACCCCAAAAATCAACCAACCAAAAAATCCCCCACCCTGAAAACACAGTTAGCCCTTAAAAATAACACACAGGGTTTTGGCTATCTACCATGACTGAAGACTGGGCCTGATGACAGTCTAAACAGGTCCAGTCTTCCATGTCCCAATACAGAAACTCTGATTTCAGTTTAATAACGTCACAAAACACCTAAAAATGCCATAGTTATTAACCTAAAGTTTAAGTCTAATTTACTCCATATGCACATTTTGATATACAGTGTTAAGATATTAATTGTTGATCCTATTGGAAATTTCAGTGGAAAAATGAAAGGATGGAAAGTAGATTACGTGAACAAGTTTAAAAATCTACCACAATGTTAAAATTTCCTCTCAACCAAAATCTCCAGCCATTTCAGCCAACAAGGACATACATCATAGTTGTATACTACCAAAATAGTGTAACTTTGTTTCCTAGTTGTGCCTAGAGAGATTTAACGGGATGCACGCAACAGATACCTCCCCAGGTATTAACATCTATTTAAATACTTTTTATAAGTAACAGAACTAGGTTTACTTAGTATGTGGGTGACAGTGCTTTAAACAAAATAATCAGGATCTGAGTGTTCCCTTGCTCTTCTACTTGAATTATTACTGAACTGATATCCCAGCATACTGTAGCAAACATCATAATGCTGGTGGTACTTCCTATCCTGAGGTTTTGTCCCAGTGAACCTGGAACAAAGTAAAACTTGCTCCCCATTTGCTGTAAACAAAGTGCAGTGGAAAAAATATTTAGCCAAAGGTATATACATGCATGTGATTATGCAAAAGCTGTCAGAAGTGTACTCTTCCTCTTTTCAACCTGAATGCTGTTATCAAAACAGGTGAATTATTTCCTGAAAAAGCTGCTCAAAACCCTAGAGATGTGTTTTCACTGCATAGTGATACTCAAGCTTTTACTGGGGTTTCAGTCCACATATTTCTACTGACTCCTCACCAAGTCTAAACATAAACTAATCTACAAGGCTGCAGACTATAGTGAGAGACAGGCTTCTGCTCTGCAGCGAAGAGACTCAGTAGATAAACCAGCCTGAAAGTACCCCACTAACCTTTCTTCCTAATGAAAGGACAATTTTCTAAAACCTGACAATGAAGGGGAAAGAATCTCATAATACTCCACAAAAGAAAATTGTAAGATACCGGCTCAAGCCCCCAGAAAGAAACTGAGAAAGAATTAAGTTACTGTACTGACTCTACCATGGCGGTAGCATTTCTGCTTAGGAGAAGCATTCTTGTATTTGCACATGCAACCATGGTATTGATCTTTTCGGGTGACCGTGAGGTGAAGACATACTTCTTGCAATCAGAGTTAAAAACACTCTGAGAAAATACTACTTTAAAAAAAGAAAAAAAAAAAAAAAAAAAGGTCTTCTTTTCAAAGATGAAGAGTGCATCCAGATTGCCAAAGGTTGTAAAAGCACAACTATATTTACTCTAATTTTGACACACAGTCCCAAAGCAGAGAACAGATCTGTGTTTGGTATTTGAACTCCTGAACATAAAGCTTTTTAGTTAAACAAAAGATTAGAAACTGTAATAATCTAATGCCTAAATACCACCTGTAGAATTAAGAGGTCTTTAATAAATCAATAAGCAGAAAAATTAAATACATCTATAAAAACTTACCAAAATATAATAAAGAATTCAAATGTCTCAAATTACTCCCCAAGGCTAACAGATTTAAGCACAGATAGCAACGATGCTTAAATTAAGGTAAAGGTAAAAATCTTAGACTGTTTTACAGTAAGTAAATGCCTATCAGAATTCTTTAACAACAGTCCTGTTTAACTGAAAAACTGATGAATACAATACACAAAGCAGAAACAAAAGTCTATTCCTTGCTGTCATTCATAGGAGGAAATAATACTTGTAGCTCAACTACCTCTGCATCTAGCAAAATATTTTTCACCCTACCTTGAGAAGAGCCATCATCCTCTTCATCCAGTGTAAGATCAATGACAGCTCCTGAATCACTTCCTGTGACCTTCCCGTTCTGAAAGACAAAACTCCTTCATTTTGCAAAAGCAAACCCAGGGAATGCAGGTGGAAAAGGAATATGAATTGAACATTTGGAAGGAGAGGTCTCAGAATTTTACAATCAATTACAAAGGAACTGATGAAATGAGCAGGAGGAAGTAATTTCAGACAAATTTCCCACAACTTGAAAAACAGGCAATAACCAAATGACTGTACTGTGATACCAAATATTGAAGTATTCTTAGGTTCGTAAGGAGTATAAAAACCCTGATGACCAGTAGCATGTTGTTATTTTACAGGTAAATAAATAACAATCTGGTGTTACAGAGTATCTTTCAATTATGACTCTTAACATTTTAATCTGGTTGTTATCTGTGCTTTCCTCTATAGCAGTATAACCTTTTGACAGAACAGTCACCAGAACAATATATTATTTATTTTGAGACAGCTCAGCCAATGTGCCTACAAAGAAACTGACTTCACACTAAGAGAAAGCCTCATTGGAACCAGTATGCTTACAAAACATGTCATCAAATGACATCAGAAAACTGATTGTATTCAGCTTTTTAAATTAATTTCGTTACTGTATTTTCATCCATTGACAAAAATTTTAACATTCTATTAATCTATGTATGAAGCCATTTATAACCATCTCTTTAGAGAGAATAAAGGGACCTTTAAAGCTATTGGGAAGGCTAAGTGTTATAAAAAAAAACACTCTCCAGAGGACCATCAAACAAGGTTTATATTCTGGATAACTGTTGTCCCTTGGCTGTTCAGACTGGAGCCCAGGTTTTTAAATATGCTTCCGGGGGGGGGGGGGGAGTATTATGTATTTCTAGTTCCCTAAACTTGCTGCAAATATTAGGGATTTTTTTGTTTGTTTATTTTGTAGAAGAGATGACCATTTATTGTTGGACTGAACTGCTCCCAATTTATGGATTAGAGTAAATCAGATTCCTTAGGACAGACAAAGGTTTTGGAAAGCAACATAATTATCAAAATCTCTGAACAATTAACACAGAAAAAAGCATCAGCGTTACCAGCCCCACACAGCCTGTACAAATCCCAGCATGATAAATACCAGGAAGATTATAGAGATTTTTCTGTGCAGTCAGATGGGGACAGATGTAAAACCCCTAAGCACTGAGATTATTTGCTCTATGACCTTTCATTTGGGTAAAACTAAGCCTGTAAGGAGGTCCTAAAGACAATTCTCACACAGGCAAGGCTTTGAGGAAAGGGGAAAGAGGTACTGTCTGATTACTAAATGCAAACGAAAGCTGTGTCCAAATTATTGGTCACTGAATTTGGAGTGCCTGACATGACTGTTCTCTTCATTATGCATTATTAAAACCCCATTTCTTTTTGCCTTAAGTTCTGACACTGCCACTGATGAAATTCTGTTAACAACCTACAGGATACACAATTTGAGTAAGAAATATCTTAACTTCTCATGTTCACAGGCAATAATGCCTCTATACGGACTCTATCTTTGCTATACATAGTGAAACATCTTTCAGATTTATTAACCATGAAACTCTTCTGTTAAGTAGTTTCTATTTAAAAGAATAGAGCTTCAGTTTTCTTAGTATGATGAGCTGATTTACCCACTTGAAGCTTAAGACAAAAGGCACAGTCAAATAATCATTGATTGCCTGATTAGTATAAAGTCAAGAGGAATTTCATTCCAATTTGATCATCTTCCCAGTCAGTGATGTGTATTTTGAACTGTGGCTCTCTGCCAGGAGAATGCAGATTGAAAAACGGAGGGGGAGGTTTATAAGGACCTACAAATGGAACCATTTGGAATCATTCCTGCCAAGAACAAGTAATAAATGGTTCTTAGAAAATCCTGTGCTCAACCCATCAAGAAAATAAAACCACCCCTTTTTCGTATCATGACTATTTTACTCAGGAATTCTCTCAGAGAAATTTCTGTTGCTACAAGGACTTGTGAAAACTCCAGTTTACAACAGAGGTATGTTTGAGGAAAGGCTAGAAACAACTGCTACTACTTTTGCAAAAAGAAGGGAATGGGATTCTGAGGAGGAGACAGCCATGTCACACACCAGAAGAGCAGATTCAGATGTGCTGCTCTGAGCAAAATTAGAAACCACCTTAAAAGAAAGCTTGCGGCATTGATGAAGGCAAAAGGAAGCCTGACATTGGACTTTCAGTCATGTATGAACAATATTCATATTTATGACAAAAACTGAAATAAGAGAGCAACTCTTTTAGCTCTTAGTATTAGATTTCAGCAAGCATTAGGCAGAAACTGGTAACACAGAAAAGCAAAGTCAAGGCATTCTGCTTTCTCAAAACACAGGAGGTCAAGAACCTGAATCTGTTTCAGCTGACCTCTACAAAAGAGCAAGATGATGCAATCATAACACCTTTTCATCAGCACAGTCACACTAGTGAAATAATTAAAACCATTTAATGAGAATGCAAAACATATGCCAGGTGCTTCAGTTCACAAATTGCCCAGCATGTCTGAACAATGTAAGATTCAGTCACCTTAGAATATCAAATAAGCTGGAACAGAAACAAAATATACACGGTAATACAGAGTGATCTCTATCTATTTAAAGACTGTAGTTACAAAAAGCCTCAAACCAAACAAAACCACAATTCCTACTCACTCCCCCAACACTGTTTCATTTGGCAGAACTAGAGCACCAGTCTGCAAACAGACCAGAAGTGGCACTTAAATCTGATTGTTTACAACAGCATTTAGGCAGTTTCTAATAATCAAACAGAAAAAAGTTTACCTAGAGATTTAAAAGAAATGTAAACTGCCAAACTCTTTTCCATCCTTCTTAACAGCTCACATATCAATGTATATGCCTTTAAACTCCAAGTAAGTAGAAATCCTCCAAAAGACTATCATTCATGCTGCCATTTTGGACCTGTTTCATCCATAGCTGATGAGCTAACTTTCTACAACCTGGAAGGAGCAACATCATGAACTGAACTATTCTGGTAACCACAACTATATCTAAGTTGCCTTATTTTAAATATTTCTTTGCTGTCACACATCAGCCAGGAGCGTAACAATCTTGGCACAAAACAACACAACAAAAGAATTAAAATAAAAATTAAACCTAACAAATCCTACTCTGAAATGTCACAGTTTTAAAGATAAACATGAAAAAAACTTAGGAAGAAAGCAAGAAAAAACACAACTTCATCTTTTTCTGACAGTTTTAATATAGACAGATCTTTATCCTTCATCTGGTCGGTGAACTTCCATTTGCAATTAAGGTATTTTACATAAAAACAATGTCCCATAACTGAGTATTTAATACTGAATTATAATGTAGATCCAGCCAAAGAAGATGCATGTGATTGGGAGTTGAAAGGTAAAACATTAGGCGATGGGGGGGAAGAGGACTCTAAGGTATGATTAAGAGCAGAAACAAAGGTGAAAAAAGGCAGCAGTGGAAAAGAGAATTACAAGCCAAGCACCAGCTCAGCATGCACCACCACAAACATGGATGTACAGTGCAGTGCAAGTGTACTATAATTCTGCTCTGCTGTTCTCAGTGTTGTGTGTTTTTCCCAAAACAGTCAGCCAAGGAGAAGGCACTTCACACTTACACTCTTGATCTGTTTTGAGAAGTGTGTTCTTTAAAGAAAATCTTGTCAAATAGCAGGCCCTCTGCTCCAGCTTCTTCAGTCTGCAAAGTCATGTCTGCATTTACCAATAGCTAACACTATGGGCTGTGTTTGCATGCCAAATGCCCCAGGCAAGCGTGAAGGAAAAGAATTTTAATGCCAAGCGCATAACTTGTGAATGCGGCAACTGACAGACCCTAGAAGAGGGGCAAAACCAAAACAGTAAATCCTCATCCCCTTCAAATATCTGAATGAAACCTGCTAAGTCCTGAAACAGAGCCTAAGTCACAACCTCTTCTACGCACCACGTAATCAGTTAAACGTAAACTGCTTTATAGTGCATATGGAAGATAAAATACTCAAAAGTATGTATAAAATGAACGTAATTATTCAATTTTTTGCATTTCTCTCAAATTCATATTGGAAATTGGTATTTCTAAGTCTTCTACTAGCTACAGAACGTTTGCTGAAAAGAGATCTATAGTACTGATTCTTCTAACAGTTTAAAATCTTTTTTTTCTTTTTTATCATGAAAACTACTAGAAACAGACTTTGCTTTCACTTCTTACGTATTCATATGACAGTGATTACACTTCAAGATTTGCAACTAAAGGTTGGTAAAAATGACCTATACTCAGAATTTCATGCATTTTCCACTGTATATACTATAACAATATAACATCTGCTTTCTTCCAATCCCATCCACTAAAGTCTTCTTAACAAATAAAGTACTGACAAATAGATGCACTGACAAATAAGATACACTCAAGGGAAGAAGTGCTAGGAAAAGGCAGCAAGAGTACACTTTTCCTTGAGGAGGAAAAAGAATTATACAGTGACTTTCTAGAACCAATGCCATATGGATATTATAGAAATTTTAAAAACAAACAAAATAATGTTCTTAAAAGTAATAAAAATCCTGGAACTTGTTAAAAATGCACAAATACAGTGAACAGGGTAACCCAAATTTGGACTCACATTTAAGATATGCTATAAAACCAATCTAAATGCTTTGTAATTAAGAACTTACTTTCTTTTGGAAGACTCTCATTACACCCCAGATGTCACTGACTGCAGTATCTAGTAATTAATCTTTGCAATAGTCAATAGTAACTTAATTGGGAGAAATCAGAAAGGAATCAGCCTCGCAGTAAAATGAAGGATTGAAGAGCTCTGGTGTTGAAATAATTCAGAAGCAGTTTCCTCATCTGCCTCTGGAGAAGCAGGGGCATTGAGACAGGCTATTATCTTTCTATGTTCTTCCACAAGCTGAGACCATTTCAGAGAGTTGTGAAATGCACTGCAGTGGAAGAACATCACCTTAACTTTGCTATCCAGCAACTTTTTCAGACCAGCACTGATGCAAGTTAGGTTGATTCATCATTTGTAATTTTG